GAGGCAGAAATTGGGCTTCAAAAGAAGTTTGGTGACTATAGTTTTAAATTTTTTATTTGTTTGTTCTTACTGTTTCTCTACTCTTGACTGCCTGTGTGTGACCTCAGAGGTGCCACTGAGGTGGGGATCTGAGCACAGCCACCAGACATGCTCCACCTCTTGCTGTTCTCTCCGCCTGGAATGTTCTTTCCTCCAGACAGTCTCATGCCTTGTTGCCCCACCTCCTTCAAGCCTTGTCTCCAAAGTGGCCTTGCCCAGGGGCCTTCCCTGGGCAATTTCCACCTTCCAAAACTTCCTATCCCCCTACTCTACTTTATACTTCTCCTTGGCACTTAGTAAATGACATTGCTCACTTATCTCCAAAATATAGGGCCCAAGGGAGGTGAGGACAGGAATTTTTGTGTGCTTTGTTAACTGCCATATGTCTAATCCTTAAGAATAGTGCAGAGCACATAATGGGAGATTAAAGAAAAAATTCTAAGTGCAAGGACTCGAGTTCTATCCCTGGTACCAAAAAGAAAAAAATTCTAGGGAGTAGAGATGTAGCTCAGTAGTATGCATGAGGGCTTGGGTTCAAGCCTCAGCACCACAAAAAGAAAAAAAAAAAACTGATAAATGAACAAACTTCCCCTCAAAGTTGTCCTGGAGTCTGCCTTCCCTTGGGAAGGAAGATATTCTTGGTGCCAGACTGAGTCTTCCAGGAGGTGGGGCAGGAGATTATAACCTGACCACTTCTGGGGTGCTCACAATTTGTCTGCTGCACTTTCAGGAGCTTTACATGCACTGCTTGTAAAGTATGCTTGATCATATCATCAAAATGACCACCCTCATTAAGAATTTATATTCTCCCAATTTTACAGAAGAGGAAACTAAGGCTGAGAGAGGGATGTACCTTGCTCAAGGTCACATGGCTTATAAGAAGCAGTGTCGGGTGGGGGATTTAGCTCAGTGGTGCCTCTGCCTGCCTCGCAAGCACAGGGTCCCAAGTTCTATCCCTGGTACCAAAAAAAAAAAAAAGCAGTGTCAAGGGGCTGGGGATTTAGCTCAGTGGCACCACACCTGCCTTGCAAGCACAAGGTCCTGAGTTCGACCCCGGTACCAAAAAAAAAAAAGAAACAGTGTCAAGATTCAAATCCTACCGGGGAATTAGCTCAGTGGTTGTGCCGCCTGCCTTGCAAGCGCAAGGTCCTGAGTTCGATCCCTGGTACCAAAAAAAAGATTCAAATCCAGGTCTGGCTGACCCCAGATGGTAAATCTTTTCCTCTGCCATACTGCTGGGTCCTGCCCTAAAGGGGCCTATAGCAAGCCAGGCGGTTACATAAATCACCACACAAGGTCTCACATGCTAAGTGCTAAATATGTCACACCTGACTCCATCCTTTCCCTCCCTCCCAAATCTAGCAGTCACCAAGTTCAGCTGAAACTTTGGCAGACCTGGGAATTGCCCTGGAAGCCACCTCTGTACCTTAGACTAATTCAGGTTCTTGTTAACACTCACATGGTCCAAGGCCATGGCCTCCCAACTACTCCCCTGCAACCAGGCTTACCTCTTCCATCCAAATTTCTACCCACTGAGAGTCAATGTCCCTAACCTCAATTACAATACTAACTCCTGGGCTCAAAAACTGTGTCTGGTCTCTGATGACTCCAGAATAAAGTTCAGATTCCTGAGTTCAGGCATTCAAGGGCTCTGGTCTTGCTTCCATCCCCCCTCAATCTTGCCTTGTGTTATTCTTTCTTTAAATATCCTGTGAGCTCTCCAACCTCCACATCATGTCCTATCTCCAACCCCTCAGCCCAGTGGTGGCATACCTATGGCATGCATGCTGCAGCAGGCACACTGAGCCCTCTATGTTGCCACATGGGCCAAGTTACCCCAGCAGCTGAACATCGGATAACAGTTGTTTTTGCTAAACTAAAGCTTCAGTACGCAGGTTTAATTGCAGTGTTGGCATTTTGCAATAAATAAGTGGGTTTGGGGTTGCAGTTTGGGCACTCAGACTCTAAAAGGTCATTCATCATGGCTTTAGCCTCTGCTGGTTCTTCTGCCAGCAGTCCTTTCCCCAACCTCTTCTCAACATCCCTCCAAAATGTTAAAGTCTAACTCAAATGCCACCTCCTCCTCGGCCCTCCCATGACACACAAGCAAGGACACTCTCTCCTTCCTCTGACTCATCAACATTCTGTGCCCCTATGGCTGGCACCCACAGTATATAGCTGCAGATATTAGGTTCTCATGCTCTGGGATGAGACTCTTGAGAGTACTGTCTAAGCACACTGGCCTTCTGAAATAGATTGGTGGGAGGGTGAGTTCTGTAGAAACTGGATTTTGTGTGTGTGTATGTATGTGTTAGAGGGCAGTACACAAACAGGTGTACTGAATGCTGCATGAAGGCAGTAGAGTCCAGCATGGTGGCATACACCTGTAATCCCAGCACTTGGGAGGCTGAGACAGGAGGATCGCCACAAGTTCAAGGCCAGCCTGGGTTACTACATAACAAATTCAAGGCCAACCCCCCCAAAAAAGCAGCAGATCACAGGATCTGGAACCTGACTGCTTTGGTTCAAATACAGCTTTACCTCTTTGTAGCTGCGTGACTTTGGACAAATTACTTAACTTCTCTAGGTCTCAGTTACCTCACTTGAAAAAGGAGGTTGCCTACCATGAGGACCAGATGAGTGAAGGCATATAAAAGCACTGAGATCCGTGCCTGGTACACAGTCAGTGCAAACCAAGTGTTTACAGCTATTCCTATTAGCAAAACCCAGAGAAGAAGATTCCCGGTCCTAGCACAGGGCTGACAGGAGCTGGCACAGGCACAGTCCCCAAACTGTAGCTATATTCCAGGTCTGTTTCCCACGTGCTGTTGGAAGACAGGAAAGGCAGGTGATTAGCCCCATTTTACAGCTGTGGAACTGAAGCTAACTTAGGGAAAGTGCCAGTGAAGAAGTCACTGCGTCACCAGAACTATTTGGCTCCCATCATGCACTCGTCCTGCAGGCCTCACACAGCAGGCAGCACTCCACCACCACCACAATGCACCATGCTGGAGGACCCAGATACAGCACCCCCTTCACCTCAAGTATATTTGCCCACCCACAGACCAGGCACAGTGCAGAGTGTCGTGTACAATGTACACTCATGGAGCATGCACGCATGTATACACACACACGTCCCCACAGAAGGGCCCAGGCCCCAAAGGTGAGGAAAACCTGTTCTCAGGAATCTGCCTAGTGAGCGAATTCCGTCTAAGGCCTTTCCACCTTCCACTGTCACCCGAGTGGGGCCGAGTGTGCGTCACAGATACCCGAAAAGGGGGGCAGGAGGAGAGAGAGGGCGAAGTGGGAGGAGACTAAAAATTTCACATTTCTTTTTTCCATTTTAGTGACAAAAGTCACACCCGGCCTTTACATAAACATGGCCAAGGAGCCACTGTGTCTAAACTCACTTCCCTTGCAGGCGCCAGTACACTCCTCCCAGTGACCCTGACACATGGATGAGGGGCAGGCACACAGACCCTGCAAAAGACAAGCTGCATGACCCGACAACACCCAGGCCTCCTGCCTGCTGCCCTTCCCTTGCCCCATGTTTATCTCTCCGCCTTCCCACAACATCTCCTCAGCAGCCCCACACTACTGCTTACACACACAGAAGGTAGGCACACAAACACTGCTTGTGGCTGGCCTCTCAGGCCCAAGGCCCACATTGCCCTTGTCATGCTACCTCCCTCCCCGCAAATGTCTTTTGACCACCTCGCCTCCCAGCCCAACAGCCCAGACAGACTGCCACGAACAGCGTCACAAAAGAATCCCACGGAGAATGTTGCAAACACACAACCATCCCCTTGCTTGGCTGCCCACGGTCCCATAAATACAGCTTGTACATCCCACCCAGAATCCCTCAGAACAGTGCCACTGACCCACAAGCACCAAAGACACACCCAGGTGATCAGTGGGATCTGAGTTCTAGACACGCAGCCCCAATAGAACTCGCTTATCAGAAACACACAAACCCATCCATCCACCTGTCCGTGCCACAGAAATGGGACCAAGACCTGATACCTTCTAACTCAAAGGTCCACAACCGTCCCCTCCAAATGGACACATACACCCTGCATTCTGGAACCCTCCAAAACACCACACCACATCAGCTATGCAGAAAACAGGTGCTCATAAACAGTTCATATATGTACCCAAAGACATACGTGCAAGAAAACACACGTATACAAACTCCGAACTCAGTCAAACTGTGTCCTGCTTAGAATGCTCATCTGGTACCCACAGCCATAGGGGCCGTATCTTGTAATCCTGCCCACAACACTAGACACCTTTCCTGGCTTTCCATGTCTAGGGCCCAGGGACAGCCCTTACCCAGACCCCTGGCTGCCAGATGAGCAAATGGTGGTGCCCCAGGAGCGGTTTACCTTGCCCCACAACATTGCAGGAGACACAATCTTCCAGACTCACAACCACAACCCTGACCCGACGGCGCGGCGGTTCCGGAGCTCCTGCTCGCATTGCGCACCCCGCTAACCTCAACTGTGGGGCGCTCGGCAGCCCACCCCTCCCCCTCTCTGCCTGGCTCCTACGCCATCGCCCTCCCAGCAGCTTGCAGCGCTTGCCCGGGCTCACACCCTCCCAACCCCACCCCCAACCTGCCCCACGGGGGGAGGGGGGCATTAGGCTGCAGAATTAACCCTTCTAAGGGGGGGGTGAGCGCAGCCCCTTCCACGGCCCCAGGCAGTCGTATCCCCCAGCCTCCTCTCGCTCAGACGCCATACCAAGGCCCCCTCAGTCGTCCCCCAGAGCCGCGCGCGCCCGGGGGCGGGGCTAGGCCCAGCCCCCGACCCGGGAGCCCCCAGGTTAATCCCAAAGAGGAGCGGTCTCTGCTCGGGGCGCGGCTCGGGCCTCCGCGGCGCCGGGCAGCGGAGAGGGGGCCCGGCAGTTGGCTCCGGTCCGCCCTGGCCCTGCCCGTTCGCCCCGGGGCCCACCTGACTGCGATGGCGCTGGGTCCGCCAGGCCCGGCTCATCACCGTGGCCGCCCCCAGCCGCTCCGGTATCGCCCGCCTCCAGCTCCGGCTCCGGCTCCGGCCCCAGCCCCCCCCAGCGCCCAGCCCCGGCCCGGCCCC